GGTCCTTGGTTGGAATCCCGGCGGGTGCGTACTGCTGAAGAGTCGCAAACTAGGACGAAACAGCTGTCCAGTACTCCCAGGTTTTCCAATGGTTCTCTAACTAATGTCAGCTCATGATGAAATCCTGAAACCAATCAAATCCCTGCAAACCAACACTTGAATACCAATGAGATGCTCACTGGCGACTGGCCCTATTCAGGTAGGTAGTTACCTGGGTTCCGATGGGAAGTCGTGACCAGTAGGGTGCAGCTGGTCGGGTGTTTGGACAATTACTCGCCGAAGACATTGGCTGGCGGTCGCGCTATGTCGTGAATTGGCAGAAGTTAGAATTCAAGGACCATTGGATCGGGTCCCAGTGGCCTAATGGTATACGAGCTCGCCTTGTAACCGGAAGGTCCTTGGTTGGAATCCCGGCGGGTGCGTACTGCTGAAGAGTCGCAAACTAGGACGAAACAGCTGTCCAGTACTCCCAGGTTTTCCAATGGTTCTCTAACTAATGTCAGCTCATGATGAAATCCTGAAACCAATCAAATCCCTGCAAACCAACACTTGAATACCAATGAGATGCTCACTGGCGACTGGCCCTATTCAGGTAGGTAGTTACCTGGGTTCCGATGGGAAGTCGTGACCAGTAGGGTGCAGCTGGTCGGGTGTTTGGACAATTACTCGCCGAAGACATTGGCTGGCGATCGCGCTATGTCGTGAATTGGCAGAAGTTAGAATTCAAGGACCATTGGATCGGGTCCCAGTGGCCTAATGGTATACGAGCTCGCCTTGTAACCGGAAGGTCCTTGGTTGGAATCCCGGCGGGTGCGTACTGCTGAAGAGTCGCAAACTAGGACGAAACAGCTGTCCAGTACTCCCAGGTTTTCCAATGGTTCTCTAACTAATGTCAGCTCATGATGAAATCCTGAAACCAATCAAATCCCTGCAAACCAACACTTGAATACCAATGAGATGCTCACTGGCGACTGGCCCTATTCAGGTAGGTAGTTACCTGGGTTCCGATGGGAAGTCGTGACCAGTAGGGTGCAGCTGGTCGGGTGTTTTCTGGACAATTACTCGCCGAAGACATTGGCTAGCGGTCGCGCTACGTCGTGAATTGGCAGAAGTTAGAATTCAAGGACCATTGGATCGGGTCCCAGTGGCCTAATGGTATACGAGCTCGCCTTGTAACCGGAAGGTCCTTGGTTGGAATCCCGGCGGGTGCGTACTGCTGAAGAGTCGCAAACTAGGGGGGTCCCTCTTCATTACGCCTTTTGTCAGTTTATTTTCGAACCTTCTTTCTTTCGTTAATCTAGTTTAATTTTTTTTTATATATGGACAAATTTTTTTATAATTGCCATTATCGACTTAACACCTATCTATGTATAAATGCATTTAGATCACGAACATTCATGTCATACCTTGTTGTAGTACCTCAGAACTCTCTCTTCTTGCTGATGAATTCACTATTTTCACTGCCGGCTCTTTTGGAAACTCATTGTCCATAGTAACATGTGATTTATTTCATATGACTGCAGCTTTCTCACAGTTCTAGGTCATGAAAATGTCGTTAACTTTCCCACCAGACTGGATAATTGTATTTATAAATGACTGCGGAATATACGACGCTCTTATAAGAGCCCCATTTTTTAACTCAGATCATTGTGTTGTATGGGTTTTACCTAAAATTTATGAAAAGTTACACAAGAGAAGTTTTTCACACCTTTCCAAGAAAACGGTACATGGATCTTACTCTTTGGAGAATGTTCAGAATCTTAAGGGCATGCTCAAAGACACAAGGTGGGAGCTGTTTAATGAAGACTCTCCTGATGACACTATCCCTAATATTACAAGTTATCTGAAATTTTGTCTTGACACCTGTTATCCCAGAGAAACGCTTTACATCAGATTTGACCGTCTCTCCTCCCCTGAACTTAAAAAGCTTCGCAGACAAAAAGAAAAGTTGTATTAAATGAAGGATAATACTGGTTTGAAAAAAATTAACATCCTGATAAAATCTGAAATGCACAGGTTGAATTCAATTTACAACCAAAAGTTTATATCCTGTAAAAATGTGTCTAATATATGGAAACTTTTCAAAGAAATTACTGGTGGTAAGCAGATGAACAGTATTTCTTATTCCCTTGATGTTTGCACACTAAACATGTCTTTCATATATTCCTCCACAAATGCTAAAGTTTCTATTGTTACAAGTGCTAATGAAACCTGCTTCCATGGTTTCAATACAAACGATGTTCTAAAATGTCTTCAGTCTCTGTACACTTCTTGTAGCCTGGATTTAGACGGTTTGCCTAGTCTTATTCTTAAAAAATGTGCAGACATCCTGTGTTATCCTCTCATGGACATATTTAACGAATCTTTTTCCAGAAATGTTGTGCCAGCCATTTGGAAAGACATTAAAATTGTACCTATGCCTAAGTCGTCTACTGGAACATGTTTTAAATTTAGACCTATTGCTATTATCTCCACTTTTCTAAAAGCTATGGAAAAGTTACTCTTACTTAATCTTCAACCTTCACTTAAAGCCTTTAACGATCTTAAACAGTTCGCTTATAAACACAGCAGAAGTACTTTAGATGCAGTTGCAGTCTTGTACCATAACACTGTCTCCAGATTAGACAAGGGGGCTAAATTTGTTCGCTGCACCTTCCTAGATTACACATCTGCTTTCGACTCAGTACCTAGGGACATTTTGTTAAACAAGCTTGCCGAAACTCAAATTGAGTGTTGGGTTGTCAAATGGCTGCATTGTTATTTCTCAGGAAGAAAGCGGTACTCTGTATGTCAGGGAAAGTCGTCCACTTCGTTGCTTACTGAGGCTGGTGTCCCTCAAGGCGCTATCCTTTCTCCTTTTCTGTTTTCTTTCTTCTTGCTTGACTTGCCTCACTCTGATGAAACGAACTTTGTTACGTATACGGACGATCTAACCATTTCAGTGTCTGTTAACTCTCAGCTTGACTGCACTAAGATAACAGCTTTATATCAGGAGTTAGCAAATGGTCTTCGTCTAATGGCCTTAAACTAAATCCTTCCAAATGTCAGACTGTTAATTTCAGTTTCGGATGTAAACGAAAGTTAAATGAAGCCGTTAGTTCCTATGATCCTTGCAAAATTGATGATACTGATATAGAAATCAAGTCTGAAGTTAAGTATCTTATATTAATTCTTTCTTCTGACCCATCCTGCTCTTCCCATGTCTTAACGATTTCTAAAAGAATATTTCGTCTGACTTTTTACATTAAGAAGTTGAGGCACTCAGGCATAACCCAACCACTCCTCTTACAGTTCGTCAACTCATGTATTCTACCTATTCCTCTTTATTGTTCACCCTTATTCTTCCCTGGATTGCTTAAAAGAGACATATTTCGTAGAACTCTGAAGACTGTCTGTAAGATGAGTGGTATCCCATCGGGCCATATCGTTGATATTGTCACTGATAGGCACTTGATGTCATGCAACAAATTTGCTAAAGGAATTTGGTCAGACTCTGAGCACCCACTCTACCCTCAGCTCCAACCTTGTCTCCTCATGTAAAACAAGAAGTCTTTTCAGAAGAATTTATGCACATACTTCTAAGTATAAAAATTCCACTATACCATATTTAGCACTTACTTTATGTGATAACGGTGTCAGGCATGAACTAACTAACCTTCTTTGCACTAATAAAAAAACCATTTCTTCCACCCTTACAGTATCAAACTTTATTGTTACTGTATTTCTTATATTTATAATCCTCTCAATTTTTCGTTTGTTTTTTTTTTTGTAAGTGTGAACATCATTTAAGCTATGTCATAACTCTTAATTTTGTATTTCCCCTTACCATACAATATCAACAGAACATTAGATCCAATAATCTGTAACATGCTAAAGTTTCCAAACTAAATCAACAATACTATTTGAAACAAACTCACTGTTATTACTATTATTATATTTAATAATCTCAATTCGTGCTTGGAATATTTTTTGACTTTATATCGTAAACGTGGACATATTGCTCTGGTTAATTTTGTTTTAATTTTTAATTTTATTTATATTTTGAGTAAATCAGATGCAAGGTGTTGTGACAAATGCTGAGAATTCCACTCTTTATTATTAGTACTGTTTTTGGAGTAAAGTAGATTATTATTATTATTATATTTTTAGAAATTTCTTTTTGTTTTGAGGATAAGAATAAGAATGATAATTAAGCAGATAATTGATAGGATACCTCAAATAATAGGTTCATTTATCTAACATTCTCTATCCTTTTTTAGACTTACTGCTCATCCTAGTTTATCTGGAAAGCCTTTATATAATCAAATTATTCTGCTTTCGGCTTATAATTTCGCATTGGTACACTGTATTATATCCATAAAAGTGAGTCAGTTATTGAAAAGTAACAAAACATACAAGATAGATTAGTAAGTGAACTTATGAAAACTTCAACAGCAGTCTTAAATGTCTATTTGATACTGTTGCAATTCTCGGTTAATTGAATTACTTAATTAATTATCCTGTTATAGCCGATTAATAATGAAATGCAATCAAACGCGTGCAATAAATATCCACTTACAGAAATCGCCAAGTGAAGACAGAAACCCAACATCTCGCAATGTTTTGTCTAAGAAGAAAACACGCGGAGGAGGGTTTTTTTATCAGTTGTCCTGTCTCGGGTTTTTGTGTAACGAATACTTTTAAAAGAATACACGCTATTCATTCTACTCTACTTCACAAGAGCAACAGAATTCATTCTGTTACTTAGATGGAGGCTCCATTCCTAATGTGATGGCGATGGGGAAGATCATAGTTGTGGTTGTGTTTGTTAAGTTGTACTCTTGTGTATTGAATCACTTGTTTATTTACTTATATACAATAATACAATTTGAACAGGTGGGCTTATTTCTCCAGTTAAATTCGTCCAATCAGAGTTCAGCTTAAACCTTCATTCCACCTAGCCTAGTTAGTAATCGTTTAACCCATATCAACAGTTTATTTTGTTTATCATACGGCTTAAATCTATTGGTTCACAGTTGAACATGTTTCCACATGAATATAATGAAAAATTTTCCTGAGGATTAATTATCTTAAAGTTAATTTATCAAGTAAAAGAATAACAATATAAATATTACGCATAGATAACATTTCGAAAATATACTTTGTAACACAGGACGAGATTACTTTTTTTTCCATAAAGGAAGTATAAGCAGTGTGTGTGTGCCAGTGTGTAAATTTTCAATACAAATCAGAAGTTATCCGTCTCTGTGATTACCTCTTATTTTACACACAAAAACAAGGAATTATATGACAGGTACAGAGAAAATGATGCATAGATCACTATTCTCTATGATGCTTTTCCTCTTTCTGCAGAATAGTAAGTCATAATTATCTCTTCGTATATTATGTATAAATTTTATTGCATCTTCATATGCTTGAGGCTAAGTGGCAGTACATTTAGGAGACGCAGCTGTTTACACTCATATGACAGTAAGTTTGTCGCTTTGAACATTTAGTTTCATATTTCTTATCATTAAAATGAATGACAAGTGGAGTCTGTTGGTGCGTGTGAGCGCTTATAATGACTTCACGTTGAATCTCACAGAATACGATTAGACTGGTTGACTTAACTTCTATTTCAGTCATATGAAGTAATGGAGGTTTATCAGGCAAAAGAATTGAAACTAAGTTCATCTTGTGTCTAGCAGAATAAGCACTGGTAAATTCATGATGACTACTGCCTGTCAAACATGGATATGGTAGTAACTTTTAGAGTGTATGCCATTCACACTATGAAAATTACACATTAATGATAATTAGTAGTTTAAGGAGCAGGATATAGCGATAAAGTATAACCATTAATTCGTGAATAAGAAGATAAGAGATTTTTTGTCTGCGATACATATATATACATATGTTTTTTTTTCTATAGTCTGTTTGTAGGGATTAGTTTTGTTTTCTTACGAGTTGGCCACGGACTGATATCAGTTAGAGACACGTTGAAAACCAGGGAGTACTGGACAGCTGCTGTTTCTCCTAGTTCGGGAATCATCGGCAGTAAGCACTCACTGGGGTTCGAACTCAGGAACTTCCGGTTATAAGTCAAGCTCGTATATATAGGAGAATAGATTCGCCAAGGTGAAGGTATAAGTCAAAATGGGTGAGATACAAAAATGGTTGTTGAATATAACTATACATGGACTCAGAAGTTGTCATAGTAATTTATGAAATAATAATAGTAGTAAAAAAATCAGAGTAAAGTGAATTCAAAGGAAATTAACTTTGATGAATATTATTCGAATAATGATAATCAGAAACAAAGGTGCCTTAGACGAAAGTTTTTGTAGACACAATTCAGTCAGTAAGTTATCCTGCATACACCTTCTATATTCAGAATACCAGACGTAAGCTAGCCAGTAGATAGTTAAATAAACCTCCTTATGATAATTCAGCCTAATTTTCTACCAGTAAACTTTCAGGGATGTACTTTATTTTAAAGTTATTACTTGAAAAACTGAAAATTATTCATCGATCATGTCATTAGGATAAATCATCTAAACTCTACAATAAATTAATTAGCTTTACCTTTCCATTTAGAATGATCACTTTTGTGTTGGATGCATTGTTCGTATATCTATCTTTTAGGCAAATAAAGATTGAAAGTTGCGTCTCCAAGTAGATAGCCTGTTCTGAGAACTTAGAATTAGAGATTATCAAATAATATGGAGTCCAGCAGGGACTTCATGGATGAATTTATCCATTTCATTGCACACTGAGTCATAAGATGTAGACTGCACATGAAGCACGCGTTATCCAAACATCTCCTCTAAGTACTAATTTAGCAGTGACAAAATGTTTTCACTGTCAGCATAACTAGTTTAACGAAGTAGAAAATCTATCTATCAATATTTTTTTCAATTTATATGATGAATAAATATGCGAATAAATGTTGTTAAGATAAGTGTATTAGAAACTCAATATTTACAGATTTTTTATGCCACACGTAAGTGTGTCACGGTCTTAATACTGGTACTACTGTAGTTCTTCCAACCTATTCGCCATAGATTACATATATACCAGTCTACCTTAAGTGGAGACTGTACTGCACACAGTTTACTCATAAATGTGCCTTTTAATGATGAAATCTTTGCTGATTCGAGATCAGATATGTGCCTTAATTCTAACCAAAAAACAAATAAACATTAAACACTACTCTTTCTCAAAACAAAAATTGGGATGTTGTTCTTCACTCCTATACATTTTCTAAGGATGACTTTTTAAGAAGTAAAATCCATTTGGTTAGACAACTATTTTTCGCATTTATATTCTTCCCCACGATTCGTTTATGAATGTTTTCAAACTAAAGTTTTGACAAATATCGACATCATTATTCATGAGTGAAATATGCACTAGATCGGCTAAATTTCTGATACTAATAATCTGCTAGACTTTATAACATGGTTTAATAGTTGCAATGCATATTTGCTGATGTTAACTGTGATTTTTATGCCTCAAAAATACAAAAGCAAACGATGAACATACCCATTAAAGGTAGTATAAAACTCAGTTAAATCGGTTAACACTTTTAAATTTAGTTTAAACACTTATTATATTACTACACAAAACTTTAGAACATATCTGATGTTTTAGCGATCCTTGAATTCCATAATATAGAGTATTCATACTGATATGGAATGTTCATTTTGTAGATCTACATTCTCCGGAGAGACTGTTCAACCTTAGGGATAATTACCTTCGACAATAATTTGCTATTTAAATATATTTGTTGTAATCAGTAGGGCCGATAATCACCAACATGTGTTGGTTGATATCAACGACAAGGAGAAGAAAAAAAATGTCTGGAAAACAATGCTTTGACAGATATAAATAAGGCTGTCTTTTATCGACGAAAACATCCCTTTTCATTATCATGAAAGACAATGGGATCATTGTTTAGGTCTAATGCAGCGACGCGAAAAAATAAATGGGAACTTTTGTAGATTCTGAGTGATTAAAGGCTGAAGAAAACTCATTAGATAATTAATTTAATGTTTAAGTCATAAAATATCTTATTAAACTAACCAACAACTTTATTTCATGATAGAATCATGTGGAAAGGTGTGAAAATATGTGAGTGATAATGCTTCGGAAGGTTACACCGACACTCCTTCCGAGAAACTGGACAGAAAGATACTTCATTAGTTCCCATTAGTGCACTAAGTATTCACTAAGTACATTTCGATACTTGATATGTTTTATACAAAAAGAATAAATTTTCAACTAGATTTAATCACAGATGAGACCTAAGTTATTATTAATTAATTAACTGGTAATAAGGATCTCAGGGATTTGCATCAATCAGCTTCGGAACTATCAGTTTTACGGTGGCTAGCGATTAATATCTGTGTTCCATTAGTCTGTGATTTTCATCTTCAGCTTTGACTACGGTTTACGCTATCTGTGAACACCTGACTAGACTGTTCATGACAGCTTCAGTCAACTGGTCTAACGCCTATAGTAATAATTTGAAACAAATTTAACAAATTCGATTAATTCTCAGTGATTCTCCTGCCTTCATTAAGCTACTATGAGAACTTATTAAGTTTCTTTAAATAACTGCATCTTTTGGTACTTTTGTTTGGATCTTAAACCTACTAGCCAACTAAAAATACCAAAATATGGATTGGGATAGTTCTTGTTTATCTCATTTGTTGTTTGAACATCACCCTCTATCACTACGTAGATAACAAAACATTTTATATTCCACTGAAATCCATACCATATAACAATGAAAGTTCATTATGTGTAAGGTGTTATTAACAATCATCTCTGAAAAACTGATATCCCACAGCTTGTTATACTATCCAAAGGTTTCTTCTTTTCTCCTTAGCTTGTTATCCGTTCGAACTTAGGTCAACCATGGAAACTAAATATACAGTGAGATTTCTGGAGAAAAAAGTATCTTGTAGATTACCGACTTCAGAATTATTCCAGTAATTTTAAAACTCAAAACAAGCGATGTCGATGACTGCTTTTAAGTTTGTGTGGATGTTATATCAAGAATGTCACATTCATGGCTTCCAGCTTAATAGTTATTACCACTGGTAGAAATAAGTGATAGTGTTAACACTATATGGAAGGTAAATGAAATTTCTCTTTGGAATGACATCTCCTAATTTAAGTCTCTGGATAGAGTCAATACACTCTTTTATTCATTATATGAGATTTTAAGAAAATGTCACCAAATTCAGAACAGTTTTCCTAATTTCTTTGTAAATGAGTTTAAACTTGGCGCTTATGATGATTCTTACTTATTACTGTCAGCATAAATTCTTCAATCACGCCTTGCGTTTAAGAGAACTTGATAATAATAATAATTATTATTCCCTTAGGTTCCAGTGGGAATATGGGGCTTCAACAATACATCTCCATTTCATCCTGTTTTCTGCAGTTGTCTTTAGCTGTCTGCAAAATCCCCAGTTAGCTCTCATCTCCTACTCAAAAGATCTCCTCCATTTCACACTCGAATGCCCAAACCTTCTCTTTCCATCCGCTAATACCACCAAAAAAAACGCTTATCTGAGCTGTACTTGCTAACTTTAATAGACCGTTTTAGTGTGTGTTTTGCTTACCTAGTTAGCTTACCGCTCAAACATGATTATTGATTCTACATGTTTCCTAGATCATTTCACAGTCACCATAATTATATTTTTCATGGTTCTTATGACTAGTTTATGCTAACGCTTTCGACAGTCACATGAGGAAATATTCTCACTGCCTTTTTTCTGATGTGCCATAATCAGTTTCGTCAAACAAATATTTGATCACATGTATTCCTATAACAGAAATTGATAATCTTAGCGTTTAAAAAGAGACAGTTATATACATTAATTGTTACATTTGATTGTTTCTGTGTTTTTGGTCAGTACGATTCTGAGTACAGCTATTCATCAGAAATTAATTAGAAAGCAAATACTTAGTAATCCTAGTGAATAAATCAATGAATTCATCCAGACTATTTTACAAAACTTCATGGTAAATCAGTGGTGTATTTCAAATACAAAAACAAAACCAGTTGATATTTTGAAATCCTGACTTGTATTCATTGATTCAGTACTAAAGTTAAGTTGTTTTAAATTGAATACGTGACTGAAATGAACATTATATGACCTAACTGTGCAAGTTTATTTAAACATATCAGTTTACACTATACCTAAACCAGTATATTTGTATATTATTATTGTTGTTGTAGTTTATTTGTTTTTTATAAATCGGTTGTTAGCAATTGTGGGGTTTACCAGGAAAAGCTCTATTTCAGGTGTGAATGTATCAGATAAATATTTGTTTCTTCTCCTTCAAACTGTTCTGAACGCCTCA